TATATATTTATGTATTTATGTATTTGTATGTATATATGTATGTGTATGTATGTGTGTTTGTGTATGTGTGTGTATGTATGTATGTTTGTGTGTGTGTGTATAACTATATATATATATATATATATATATATAGTTTGTGTGTGCATGTGAAATCCTTTAATGAGCTTGCTGAAATATTTTTTTCTGTTTTCAGCTTTTTCCGGCATCCACAGATGGCTGAGGATCTGATAGAAACCTACTCTGTGTTTTCACATGCTCTGGTCTCCTTTTCTATTGGTGAGTAGCTCCTTAAATCTTATTAAAAGAGGTTAATGGGGGGAGGGGGGGTGTCTTCCTGCTTCACTCACTTGCCAAATACTACAACTCTAACACCCACATGTGTTTATTTAGAGCTTGTTACAGAGGCAGATTGCTTGTATTCCTTTGGAAGTGCCTTTTATTGCCAAAGATAAATGATTTATATGAGATAATGCTTCTGAAGATAGTTGAATTAACACAGTGGTGATGTTAATGAATTGAAAAGCATGCAGTCTTAAAAGACAAACTTTTTAAAGAACAACAATGAAAAAGAGTTTATTGGACACAGCATATGAAGAGTTGAGGTTTGACTCTTGATGTGTAAATGTAGAACAATTCTCAAGAGTGTGGAAAACTGTTAGCAAGACTGTTAATCATTGTAGCTCCAAAGTCTGGAGGCTCTTCAAAACTGCAAGGATGTCAGAAAATGTTGAAAATCCCATGTTAGAAAGGGAAACCACAATACTCTTTGATGTGGATTTTATCCTCATCTGTTTTTTTTTGTTTTTTTTCTGCGCTGGTATTTTAGAGTGATATCGTTCTTCAGCAGTAAATGGATGAGAGTCAGTTGGCCAGTCCATCACATGGCAGAAAAGAAATGTGCATCATAAACTAAATGATTTTATCTTAAAAAAATAAAATCACTATTACTCCTACTATTTCTGCTAAAATAAACACAGAGTACACATATGTAAAATAAAGTATTATGCAATAAAGTTCTTTTTCTCATCCGGAATTGAGAGAGACTCATACTATACATTTGGAAATATTTCCAAAAAGCAATGCTTGCTTTTCTTAATAACAAACAAAAGCTGTAGTAGCCCTCTTTCAGCCAGATGACTAACAGTTCTCAGCAACAGGTGGGGGAGGGTTTCACCACCTTTTATTCTGCCGCCAGATTAAATCTGCTACCCATCAGGCTGTATCCTATGATACATCCAAGCCTTTCTTTCACATCCTTGTACCTACCCATGCATCAGTTCCTCCATGCAGCACCTTCATATTCACCCACCAACTGGACATTTTGTTTATGTTTAAAGCAGTCAGCAAACTCTGTTATAAGTAGGCGCTTTTCCTAGATCTTACATTTATCCAACACTTTCTGGCTGTTGTTGATCCCAGTCTGATTTGGGTATGTGTGTCAGTCACTGGAATTGTTGGACATATTTTCTACAATGACAGTATTTCCAGCAGTTAATATGCTAAACCGATTTTCTTTCTTTCGTTATTTTTATATATTTTTTTTGATTCGGGAAAAAACAAATAAAAAAAAACCTATTATGCTGTCTTGCAATTGTCCTTTAAAGTCGTAGGAAAGTCATAGTTAAAAGTCAAATAATTCTGGCAATTTTTTTAAACGTGTATATAAATGCACTCTTTATCTGACGATATTGTCCCAAACTTTAGAAAATTTCTATTTTTAGAAAAATCCTGTCTTAAAATCTGTGGGGGGCGGGCTTATCTTATGCTGGCCAGTTAGTTATACGTCAGCTTGTACACCTAAATTCAGCCAATCATATGTCAATTGTCATCTGTCAATCAAATTTTTTCGTCATAGCATCTTGATTCTTGATGCTGCAGTTAATATACGCAATGGTTGAGATAAGAAATAAAAATCATAATTTACTTTACCGTTGAGTTCCGTCCCAGTGTTCATGGGGATGGATGTCTGTGTCTTCGGCAGGCGTAGAGCTAACAGAACTGGCAGCGTTGCAAGGCAAGGGCTCAAACATGTACGACTGTAAGCCTTCTACACCAAACAAAGTTTCTGCTGCCCTGGCATCCTCTTCCACAACAACTTTGTCCCCGCTTTCCCCTCTAAATAAAAAATGTATTATGGAGAAGACTCATCCACGACCTCCGACACAAAACTCGCCTCCTCTTGCATGTTTTCTCTGTCCATAGCGTTCTTTGACAGTGTTGTTTCCAAGTCACCAATTTAGAGCTACTTGGTCCCAATGTAATTTCCTATTGGGAACCTACTGGCACCAAGTTGCTAACTGGTTAGCAAGATGCTTCCAACAAACCGGACGCAAGAAAACTTGCTTGCAAACCTTCCACCACAAAAATCCCGCCCCCTTGATAAACGAACAATCACATTCACTTTATTGACTCGTGTAAAGTCAGGCACCACTCAGGAGAACTCGGAAAGGTAACCGTTGGAACAGACGTTTCCCTACAACTTTAACAAACAACAGATTTTTCTATAATGTTATGTTCAAGTTTTACTGTAAATTGAAGTTCTTGTGTTCTAGCTCTTTAAAAATAAAAAATAATACAATCCAGAGGTTTTTTTTTTACTCTTTGAAAGTATCAGTTTTAAGAGAACACCCCAAGTTTAGTGTATAATATGGCTGCTATTATACTAAAAATCACATAGATACTTTTGATTTCTGATCTACAACCAGAAAAGGCTCAGTCTGAGTGATTTCTCTGAATCGTAGGAAGAACACCTTAAAGAAACGGCAGTGTACGAAAGCTAGTAAGACTTTTTGTAGCGTTAGTCTTTCACTACAAGTTGCAAGAGTAACAATTACAGACAGTCTCATGCTGATTTCTACACAATCTTAAAAAAAGCACTTGCATTGATTTCACTAAGTTTATTTATCCACTACCAACAACATCTGATCAAGGTGAACCTATTCTGCACCTACTTCTAAATTTAAGCACAGCGTCCAGCTGATAGTCTGTGTAAATGATATGCAAATTTTGCATGCTTGGAGGGCCCGTTAAATGTGGTGGAACTGAACAGGCCTGATCAGTGATGCCTTTAAATAGTTTGTCTATATTTTAATAAACCATAAAGGCTTCTGCTTTTATTGTATAATGCCTCACAAAAGTATTCAAATCCTGCAACATTCTACACTTACAACCTTGACAGACACATCTAAGAAGATAAACTCTTAAGAGTTAGTTTGCAGATCAATATGTTAAGCTAGATAAGCATGTCCAGTTATTGATGGTAAATGTCAAGCATCAGAAATGTCTAACAGTCACAGAGTTAACAACTAAAAGACCAGGCCAAGTGGATAATCTATGAGCATGGTACATGGAATTGTTTGAACCAGTAACTTAGATGATGCCCAACAGAACTACAGGACTTATCAAAGTTGAGCAGAATTCCAGGCCAGATGTAGCTACTATGAAGAGACAAAAGTCGAACAAAAAAGTAGAGGGACGAAAAATGGCCATTATGTCCTCCAGCAGCCATAGCCTAAAGCAGCATTACTACTTAAAGTACCTAGAAAAGCCCTCGGAGAACTTTGACCTCCACCATGCATCAAATTTAGTCCCATATTGTGACTTCCACCTCTTGCCAAAACTCGATAACCATGATCTGGACCATTAGGAAGTTGTAATGAATTGTTCCTTGGCTTGAGTTGAACTTTGGTAGCAATTTCCTTAAAATCCTTTCATAAGTTTATAAACAAGGCTTAGCATGTGTCTGCAGCCTCTGGTGTTTGTTCTGCTCTCACCTTCTTCATTCACTCTTTTTCTTGTTTGATCAGCAGACTTCGAGCAAGGCATGACTCACCTTTTTCTGTGTTTTTGACTTCAGTATAAAGCTTCTAGACTTGTTTGAGTCCGATGCTGAAGCTGTCAATAGTCACTGCTGCCACCCTCTGGTTTAGGGGGGGAACTGCTTGTTATGCCAAGTAATGTTAAAGAATCCTTAAAGAAATGTTTACACCTCTGAGCTTCACTTCCAGTTCTTTTCCTGGGAGGAAGATGTTTGGTTTAAATACTCTTAACTTAAAGGTATTGTGGAGGATTTTCTAAAATTTTTTAAAAGACCCGCCCTCTCCACTTGAAAAAAAAAAAACACCTGCAAGAGCATGCACAAGCCCATTTCTCCTTGTGAACACTCTTGTTTAAAAGTTGCTGTTGTCATAGATAATACAAGCTTACTGTGTCCGAACGTCCACACTATCCCCTAAATCCCTCAATCACTATATAGAGCGAGGTCTATATAATTAACTCAGTCAGCCTACTGTTCGGACAGATGATCACTTCCCTGTTGGTCCCCTGCGTGGTGCCTGCAGCATCTTTATTAGTCGCCGCTGTCGGGCAGCGGCAGCCTATGGCGACAGCGGGCCGCTGTGACAACAAATCCCATAATGCCTTGTGTGGAGAGCTCTCCATGCAAAGCTGTAAGTTAATGTTTTTTATCCAAAATTGACCCCTAAATGCTTTTTGTAGAGATGTTTAATCGAAGTTTTTATGATTACTTGATCGTCTATATTTTTACCAGCAAAGTTCTGTCAAAGTCAAAAAAGAAATGTACAGTGGAAGTTTTAGTGGAGACCTAAAACAAAAGGTACATGGGCTTAATAAAGCTGGCCATCAAGAATTATTTAAGGCATTCAAAGGGTGTATTAGTCTGGAAAGGAGCGGATAGAGCCTGATTTCAAAGGCAGGACTAACAGAGTCAATGGAAAGTTTAGAACCAGACTGATAACTATGGAGGTGTCTCAAAAATAATTTCTTACAAAATAAAAGCTCTTACAACAGCCAGTTGTTAGAATGTAAACAACATGAACCACTGTTTTTGTTTTTTTTTGTTTTTTTTAAAGGACATTGATTAAAATTGGCTCCATTGCAGCTGCAGTAACTGATGGTTGTAGAAAAGCACTGCTGCATTATGTGCCCACCTCCTAAAAAGTAAGTTAGTCTATCTGGCCAGGCTCAGACTTAACACCAAAACATAATTAAATACCAACTTCTGTTGTGCATGTCCAGCACTGATTGTAAAATAGATGGGTCCAGCAATTTCTTGCTGGTCTACCACATAAAACTTTAATTTATATCAATTTATATCAATACATACTTATTTAACAAAGAAAGGGAAATTAGGTGGTGTTGTAGCTTTTATTGTAGATGTTTCTTCAATGTGTTCTTGTTAAGATTTAAGACAGTAGGCAGGAATGATGTCCTGTTGTGGTCTGTGGTTGCATGGTGTGCAACTGAGCAATGGAACAGAGTTTGTGTTTCAAGAAAATTATTGTTTTTGTACTGTCAGTATTTCAAACTTCTAAAATGTGGTTGCTTTCGGTTAACATGCTAAACTTTACCACCTGCTCTTTTTAAACTTCTGCAATTAGATTAAGTCCAACTTTATGAGCTCTCAAACTTAGCAGTACTTGTCCCCACATTCTTAGAATAACAGCTTGTTCTGTTTTTCTCATTTTCTCCATATGATTTCTAAACACTTGAGAGGAAATAATTTTTCTTTTTTTTAACCCTCTGTAAAATAAACAGTTTCTGAGGGAGATTCATGTTGTGTGGAAAGCGCTCTGGAGGATTTCCCCAGATGCTTGACGTTCCTTTAGGAAGCCCAGCCCTGAAAGCTGGAGCAGCAAGAAGCAGTAATGTTATGTTGGTATGTGATGATCAGTACAGGCCCTATAATCTGACCCAGGTAATGGGCGTAAACACTGACTCATGTCCTCACAAAGGCTGTGATTTCATTGAGATTAAAAAAAAAAGTTGTCCCAACCGTGCGGGCTGTCTGCATCAGATATCAGTAGTGAGGGGGAGCCACCCACTCCCACGCAAGTTATTTCTATTGGCCATCCCATCCCATATGGCATGATTCTGACTCGTCTGGAAGTTTTGTTTTTCTAAGTTATTGCTCAACTCTTTTTTACCAGCTGCAAACTTCACATTGTCCAACAACACATTCCTCTTTATCCACCACTTGACATAACATACCCAAGCTTTTTTTATTATTTTTAAAGGAAGCCCAGCAGCAATCAAAGATTTTCTGCACTATTACTAATTTATTTATATTTTCTAAAGCTCTAACCTCATGTTTTAGCCTTTTATTAGCCTGATGAGCCAGACTAAATGTAAAATTAAATGTGTAATTTGGTCTGGCCTCGATGAATGAGACATCGGAAGATTGCTGATGAGAACAACCCGTTGTCTTTCAAACATGTCTGTGCCTATTGGCCAACGCTCTGACCAATGAGTGCATCTGACTGTGACGTAGTGTTAGGTTTATTATTTATCAAACATGACATTGTGTATTGTTACTCTGTTAGCCAGATTAGATAGAGTAGAAGGCCTTCCTTCACATGGTGGATGTCACTGTGTGTACTGAGGTCATCAAATCAGGACAGCCTTCGTGTCTTTAAAAATACACAGGATATGGTCACATCTTGGAGCCAGACTGATAGAAAAGAGCTATGTGTAATCCTGGGGCATAGAGGCAAGATGCATGAAGGTCAGGGCATGGATGGCGCGTCAGTTTCTGATACGGACAGCTAAGCATCCACCTGATAAGATATAAGAAGGAAGAGATGTCCTTGTTCGGGGCTCAATCTTTGCCGAACGCTCGCAGGCGTTTTTTGAGCCACAGCCCAATTTCTCTGTCCTGTAACGACCTGACCTGGAATTATCTGTTACTTTTTTACTCCTGATTTATAGTCCTTTTTTATATGGTTTTACCCAGTTTGAGTTAAGAGTAGTAAATAACTTCTCCCAGGAAAAGAACCGGAGGGGAAGTTCCGAGGCGCAGCCGCCTTCAGGGGGACCAAACTTCCACATTTAACAATAGTGGGCACAGCAGCCTGTCAGGAAAACGGTGAATATGTCCTCCTTAAAAATTAATGAGCGTAGAGCCTCTTCCTGCTCACGTTTCAACGAAAAGCCCAAGTCTAATCCTTCCAAAAGTGAGTCAAATAAGTCAAACTGTTCAATAGTTGCTGTCTTCTTCCTTGTTGTGCTTTCTCCAGCGTGGTGCAGCTTTGTCGTCACGCCCTCAAAACCCCACCCGCTTTGGATCCAGAAATTCAAAACGCATCTCTGCATTCTGATTGGCCCGCCAGTTCTAGGGCCTGGGACAATGATCGAGGCTAGACCAAACTGTCAGGCAAAAATGATTTTGGCTGCTGGCGGGTGGAGCTAGTTTAGTAGGTGAGCCTTTTATAGCTCATCCTCTAAAATTAACAACAAAACCCTTTTTAAACTCTTTTCTGGATACATTTCTGATCACATTATAGGGATAATGCTATATAGCTATAAAGCTATAATTGCCCTCAAAACCAGTCTAAAAGTAGCTGGTTTAAACACGCTGGTTTTCCATCCAGCCTATCACTGATCAGATTCTCTTGAGCGTTCATGTTTCAGGTCAATGGCCTCCTTCCCTATTTTTTCGAGGCTACTTGCATTTTTTTTTATCAGTAAACCTTTTCTCATCATTATTTTTCCCAGAAGATAAGATTTTTTTTGCTGTTGAATTTAAACCATCTGTCATTAAAGTTAGTGAGATAGGTCACTTCCACATGCTGACTCGAGGCCTGATTTGTCCCAGCAATTGTTTTTTTGTGTGTGTTGAGAGCAAAATAAACCAAAGTAGCGAACTCCAACATGGAGAACTTATAACATTGATACCAGAAGAATATCATGATGTATGAGCTTTAATCCAATAAGACAAATCTAATGGAGGCATTGTGTTAATATGTTAAGTTATAGTAACAATATTGAGAGAGTTGATGAGAAGCAGAAGTCCTAATTGGATTTCTTAGTCATCTCAATAGTCATCATTAAAGTCATTTAACTGCTTGATGCCTTGTGGTTTTGACTAACCTGTTTAAGGAGGGAAAGCCCTGATAATGTGCACCTGGTGTTTGTGTAAATATGTTGTCCTCCATGGAAAATTCTGCTCCCATCAATATAAAAATAAGGTGCTGCATTTATCCCTTTAACAACAGCTTAGCTGTAGCCTACCTGACGTTCTCTGTTACGATTTAGACCATCATTTGGCAACAGTGTCAGTTTGCAGGAAGAGAAATGTCCGCCTCAAAAAGCAATGTCTCACTCGTAGGTGGTCACACCCGCCGGCTTTGATTGATTTGTTTGGCAAAGCTCATTATTCAACATTAGGAAAAAAAAAAGCTAGCTTGAGGTGTTGTCATGGTTTCTCACCTTCATGTGGCAGAGTAGGAGATATTGTAGATCATCAAGTCCTGTTTTCAATTTTTTTGCGCTATTTACTATAGTGAGTTGTGGGATCAGTAATGTAGTCCTGGAACTATCTCTGTTTTTCCATTATATCATTCCCTTGTTAATTTACAGTTTCTGTTTTCATAGACCAGTGTTTCCCAACTGGGGTTATGCGTACCCCTAATGGTCCACCAGTGCATTGTAAGGGGTACATGAAAATATATTTTTTCTTTGGTAGTAAAATAAAATAGGGCTGGGATCTGTTTTGATTTGTGTGGGCCAAATTTAATAATCAAACAATCATTTATCAATCAAAAAGTACGTTTTTCTTATATGTTCGAGTTCACCTTCAGCTTTGACAAACATAAAAATCAAAACAGAGGAGCAGACTGGATATAGAGAAAAGCCTGGTATCTGCTGTTTTTCATACTACTCTTTAAAGCAGCTCGGGTGTCTTGATAAAAACAAAGTAAATCTAATTAAGTCAGTCTGACTATAATTTTTGTTCTGTATTTTGTTCCAAATTTATCAGGTTTTAATGTGATTATAAGGGAGGCACTCAGACGAGCTCCAGTTTTACAAATACAGGTTTATGATATCATCTTATTTTGTATATATTTCTATTTCTTACTTAATTCCAGGCAACATACTTACGTTGGGTTTTTTTTGACACGGAAAACATAAAATTATAAAAATGAAATAGTAAATTAAAAGATTAAGTAAAATAGTCTTTATTTTATAATCAATTATTGTATTGTTTTGGACAATCATCAATTCTTTATACTGAGAGGGGTACTAATGGAAAGACAAAATGCCCAAAGTGGTACATGAGTCAATAAAGGTTGGGAAACACTGGACTAGACATCCACCTGGGGATAAGATTTTAATGGTGTATATAGATCTTTGAAAGGTGTTGGATAGTTAAATTAATCAGATTGGAATTGATGTGGTCAAATTTACTTCCCATTTCAAGCATCTAGCATCCTAAGGTGAGGGGAAACCTTGCCTGGCTTGGTGCTGTTGAGCCTGTATGCAGTTTACTTGTCCTGAGCTGCTGGCCTGCAGGCTTCAAACAGCCGGGGATATAGCTTTTCTACTTAGACTAAAACTGTTTTACCGCGTTCAGCGCTCATGGACCACAGACCGGCAGTAGCCGGTGGCAGGGTGTGTTGCTTTACCTACAGGACCTATATAATCATCCTGCATCACATGAGAAGAAGTTTAAACCAATGGGACATGTTGGTAGTGTTAAAAGCTTTCATTTGTAAAACGATGACATGCCTAGAAACCTGCCCATCATCAAAACCTTACCTTTCTTTTTTTAGTGAAATCAATAAGTGGTTGGAATTTATTTAGTCTCTGTGGCGTCAGGTTTTCTTATCTTTTCTTTCACATTAACCTTAAAGTGTCAGGGTCCCCCTATAACCACAACCTCAGGTTGCTCAATAGGTCTCTGCATCCCCCCAGGGAAAAAAAAAAAACCAAAACCAAAAAAACACCAAATCCTCATTGTTTTTCCATCATTCGTTTAAAGCTGTATCCATGGACACAGTTGGTGGTGAGAAGCGGGTGGTGGATATGAATAGCCTCTCTCTAAGAAGCCTCCTGGTTGCCATCGTTGCCGACATGAACCCCCCCTCTGCACTCGATTAGCTCCAGGCTGCCTGTGTCCAAAAAAATCTGTTTACTTTTTGGTTATTTAACAAAGTGCTTGGTTGACCCAAAAGATGGCATTAACCTTGGCTGAACTCTCTCTCTCCTAACAGGATATTTCATCTATGACTTCCTCGACATGGTGTGCAACCAGAAGCTGAGTCAGTCCTGGGAGCTTCTCTTTCATCACATTGTGGTAGGTCTCTCTAGAAACAACTCAGGCTCATAGTTCTTCACTAACTCCTCACCCTCCAGGAGAGGGAGGGACAAAGACAATCCCTCCCCGCTCAGCCTCTTTTCACACCCTCAGAGATGAAACTCCACCCAGCCTCGCCACTTTCTCGCGGTTGCTCTAACCGCCCTTCAGCTATTATCAGATTCCAATGAAAGTGAGTCGTTATTGTGACACCCCCCCCACCGTCCTCAGCAGGCTGACAGATATTTTCCTGGTGGAGGAGCTGGGTTACAATGAGGAAAATAACGGTGGAAATAACCTTAGGCAGGACCCTGACTTAATTATTTTCCCTTTCCACCTCAGCTTTTGTGACCTACATCCGAGGCTGTGCTAAATCTTAATTCTTTGGTTGTTGTATAATTCTCACCAGTCATAATGTTCATTTATTGGATAGAGCCTGTATTGCGGTCATCGTTATGCCTATTTTTAAGTGTTAGTACAATTGTTTTTTTCTTTATTTGAAATACAGTACAATTGAACAAAAAAAATATCCCATAGGTCCTTTTTTTCTTTCTTGTCCTTCCATATTTGTTTGCATATTTTAAAGCTCTATTCGAGCTCGTCATTCATTTAAATCCATTGCATTTTTTCTCCCTTGTTCCCTTTTTTATTGTCTTCCTTTTTACCCTTCTTGTTCCTCTTTTTGTTGCTTCTGTATTTAAAGCCTTTCCGCTTCAGGAGTATCTGCCATCCATTCCTTGTGAAATTTACTGTTTCTTGTTTAAAGCGATTTAAAGAAAAGCTGAGAGTTGAGTCTTGGAAGAAAGGCCTGCAATCCTTGAGAATGATGAAACTGACTATCAGGTTAATGTAAACGTCATTTTAAACATCCGGCTTTAGTCCCGGAAGGAGATGGGTTCTTTGTATAAACGATTAAGGTGTCTGGTTTTAAAGTTGAAGCTTTTATGCAGTTTAAAAAATGTAATGTAAGTTTCCCTTTAGATTGACTTTCAGCAGGTTCACCCAACAAACCTCAATTTAAATCTCTTCTATTTTACAAGTTTTTTTAATGTTGTTTACTGGGGGGTTAGAAGTAAGTCTAGCTGTGGAAAGGTCTCCCATATTTAAGGAGTAGATGGTTTTCTTGCTTTTCCTTTAAAAGTCTTGTCCCCTTTCACTCTTAACTTCCAAGTAGACTTCTGAATGGACTTTTTTTTCCTTTTCTTTTTTTTTTCCCGGCCAGCTGGCTTCAGATTGTCATTAAAGCGTGGGAGGGATGGAGCCTCGTCTCTCATGGCTCTGTGGGCTTCTCAGAGAGCGCTCTCTGTTTCGCTTTGCCCTCTTTGTTACCCTTTTGTACCATCTCTCATTCAGACTTTCCTGCGCGCCTCACTGCTGGATCTCAATGTAGATGCAATTCCTTGAATATCTTGCATGTTTATATTTCTACTGACTTATTTCTTTCATGTTTGAAAGATATTGCTTTGCAGTTAATCATAAAGCCACTGGAAACAGTTTAGGAGCAAAAACTGCAACATCCCTGACTCCTTTCTTTTTTGCACCTAAACAAATGAGAGCAGCTTGTCATGCAGTCAGCAGCCAAACAGAACTGGAAAATCTGTTAATGTGCATTGAATGAAAAATGTTGGAGTCTGTCAGCAGGAGGAAAAATTGTGTATTTTCTTCCTAATCAAGCAACACCGCTGAGAACCGCACAAGCTGCACAGGTTGATCTCTAAACATTACACTCCATAAAACTCTTTTCACATCCCAGTTGTTTCCACGCTCTGTAACTTAAGAACATTATGTCCCATTATAGTGACTCATATATAAAAATGCCACTGAGTTGTAAAGCAAGCGATCTTCCAAGTTTAAAGCTTCAGTTAATGTATGCTCAGAATCAGAGCCGCTCCCTGTTAGAGCTGCGTCACCTCACCCTGATCCTATGATATATATTTACGCTCTTCTAACTCCAAGTTAAGGTTGTTTGCAGGACTGTGCCTATAAAGATAGCTGTGCTGAATCTTCATGTCTGAATTCTGCTCTGAGGGTTTGGCTCGTTTTACAAGCAAACACTGAACCAGCATGCGGTCTGAGGCGAGATTTGCTGATCGCTGTTATTGCCATCCACAAGGAATAACAGTCAAATATTCCACGGAAAGTTTTTTTTTTTTCCCTCTTCTTTTTTTTACTTTTGTCTATGCTTCTAAATTGGGAATTACAGAGAGAAATGTTGCGTCCTGTCACAGTCGCTCCAACTTATTTAACTCCCGTCCAACATAACATTGTGCTTCATTTAGAAAACAGAAAGTTCTGAAAATACTGTTGTTTTTATTAGCAATAGACTATGCATGCAAACATCTAAATAAACAAAGGGATGTTTTTGGTTGAATAGTGGAGTGGAAATCATTATGGATCCTAAACTTGGGTAAAAAGTTTTGCACTTTTTTTTCTTATTAAATCCCAGTTTGCAGAAATCTTTAGTATATTAATAATAACAGCAAGGTTCTAATTACTCTTTCTTTGAAACCACTTGCAGTATTTGGCTAGGTTTAATTATTTAATATGACCAAAAGCGGATATGGGTGCATAAGATCTGCTTGTACTATCAGTAGTGTTTTTTAAAGGAAGGTTTATTAGAGGCAGCCATTCGTGTTTTTTGTTGTTGAGCTTTGATGCAACCCCAAAATTCATTGCTTGTTGCGAAACTTTAAAACTTAACCAGGATTGGAGATTTTTCACAGTCTATTTACTTATTAAACGACTCTTGAATCCATTGTACTGTTTGAATAGAGTAAAGAGAACAGAAGAGAAACCCTTAGTTCAGATCTTTGTTTACCAATAGTGTTTTTACAAAGTTAACAATGTACAGAAACATCTCAAAGCAGGACAGAAGATAAGTTCACTCCCAGTAAAAAAAAAAAAAAAAACAATTTTGTATTTCACTGGGTTAAATTGGCAATGAGTTAAGTTTAGCTTTGTTTTTCTGGCTTTTCTCTAAGCGTGTAAATAAGACAGGAGGGGAAAAAAGGAAGAAAAAAATAGTTCATGCAATTACTGAGATTTATTTATCGAGAAGGAAGTAAAGAAGCATGTGAGAAGCATCACCCATTACTAATGTTCTCTTTTAGAAAATTGAATCATGTGCTACCAGGCGGCCATTGGGTGTTTTACACCAACTCTCATGTTAAGCAAACTTATGTTAGAAATGTTTTTTGTACGGTGGGACTTTCCTGTAAATACCTGCACAAATGTGACCTAAACAAACCAGTGCTAACTCTGACACAGGCTCTGAGTCCCAAATGTCAGCAAAATGTCTGCTTGGATATTGAATAATAATTTAAGACGTCAGCTAACTTCATTATCTGGAATAACAGATAAAATTGTTTAACCCACAAGCATTAGGGTTAAAGATGAGATAATGTTAATTCCCCAAAAGAAGGTCTAATTCTAACCTCTAATCTGTCATTTTTCACACCTTATCTGTTGAAATAAACAGTATGAACTATTTGATTGTTTCTTTTTCTTTAACAGGGGTCTTTGTGAAAGACTGCCTGATTCTTAAACAAAAAAATGTGGATTTTCTTTTAATTTTGTTTGTTTAACTCAACACTTTACCCACGGGGCTGCTCAGTGGGCAGTGGGTAGCTTGCAGCAAGAAGGTTCCGGGTTCGATTCCCAGCCCGGGGTCTTTCTACATGGAGTTTGCATGTTCTCCATGAGCATGCATGGGTTCTCTCCGGGTACTCCAGCTTCCTCCCACAGTCCAACAACATGACAATTAGGTTAATTGGCATCTCTAATTTCTCCTTAGGTGTGAGTGTGTGAATAGTTGTTTGTCCTGTTTGTCTCTCTGTTGCCATGTGATGGACTGGCGACCTGTCCAGGGTGTATCCCGCCTCTCGCCCATAGACAGCTGGAGATAGGCACCAGCACCCCTTGCAGCCCTGCATGGGATAGGCGTGACAGAAAATGGATGGATGGCACTTTACTTTGTTACTAAAGCAACAAATTTAATCAGAAAATCTCTACAGGTTAATTAGGTCAATAGTCTTTGTTCAGATATCCTCATCTACTCCAAGGCTGAAGCAGTTTACAGACTTTAAAATACGGATTTTCGCTTCTCTTATATTTAAGAAATACTTGTAATAACATTAGTTTTGTAGATAGATCAAATCTGATTGTGCAAATAGTTATTTTCCTTCCTTTTATAATAAAACATAAATAAAGTTGTGAAAATACCCAAGGGAAGTGACTAATTTCTGAATAGCGATCTATTTGCAGTGTATGATCTACTACTACATCAAAATGTGACGCACTTTGAAAAAGTTCAGTTGGTCACACTGTTTTCTAAGATCTTGTCCAACTACTCAAAGGTTTGAGTCACATTTGCTGCCATCATGACATTTTTTAAGTCTTTTTTTATATCTCAACTTCCTCCTGCCTGTAGATTTTATGCAGTGGTGTAATTGAAAATATGTTTGAGGGTTTAGCGTGATTGGCTGTTTGTGACCTAGAAACACTTTTAGTTGTGTTTTAACATTTTAATCTCATTTTCATCTACCTGCTCCGTCATGCACTGGGCTCAGATACAAGAGGAACTGGTTTCTGCTCACAGGGAATGAAAAAAGTCGATTTTTTGCAGGAGGAGTGTGAAGCGGTCTCACGCAGCTTTCAAGAAATCAGATATTGGAGACAGTTCCTTACTGTTAGTTTGTTACTGGAAAAACTAGCGATCATACTGATCTTTGATATTCATAGATCCAGCTTTACATGATTGGGTTTAACTTCTTTTATCTTAGCCTTTTTTCTCATTCCTCTCTGCAGAATCTTAATGATAGTTATTGCCTCAACCTGAAGCATTCTCTGAGCGACATCTAGTCATTCTTTCCTCATTAACCCTTGCATTGATATTAACTGGAGCTTTTTTTAAAAGTTTTTTACAGTTGCACAAATAAATTAAAAATAACACCAAGACTTGATTTTTGGAATAAGTTGCTGGTAGATTGTTGCAGCATGGA